GCTGCTGTATGGATTAGGTAGCTGCTGCAGCAGCAGCAGCAACCAGCAGCAGCAGCAGCAGCAGCAGCAGCATCAGAAGCAGATGAAGGAGGAGGAAGAAACATCTTTATCTGCAGCAGCAGCAAATGGTGATTCTCTTTCCCCTACTACTGCATCTATTGGTGCTGCTGCTGCTGCTGCTGCTGGCTGCTGCTCTTCTCCCCGCTGCAGCAGCAGCAGCAGCAGCCTCTGCTGCGCTGATAGAACTTTGTATATTGACTGCAGCACTATTGACCAATAAAAGTGTCTCCTTTTTATTGTCTCCTTTTATTGTCTCCAGCAGCAGCAGCAGAATGTGCTGCTGCTGCTGCTGCTGCTGCTGCGGCTGCTGCAGCAGCTGCAGCTGCTCCTTTACCTTTTATTGGTGGCTAGCCATATTCAACTTAACTAGCTAGTTAGCTAGCTAGCTGACTAGCCAGCTAGCTAGCTAGCTAGCCAGCTAGCTAGCTAGCTAGTTAGCTAGCTAGCTAGCTAGCCGCAATAAGGTTGGCCAACTAGCCGTATGCAAACCCTTTAGTAAGTCATAATAAGGGTGGCTAGCTAGCCACAATAAAGTTAGCTAGCTAGCTGGCTAGCTAGCTAGCTAGCTAGTTAGCCATAATAAAGGTGGCTAGCTAGCTAGCCACAACAGAGGAGGCTAGCTAGCTAGCCAGCTAGCTACAATAGAGGTGGCTAGCTAGCTAGCCAGATTAATGCAGTACAGCTAGCCACATTAAAGTTGCTTAGCTAGCTAGCTGGCCAGCTAGCTAGCTAGCCAGATAGCTAGCTAGCCATATTAATGCTGGCTAGCTAGCCATAGCATTGTAGCTAAGGCTGTATAGAAAGCCATAGGAAGGCTAGCTAGCTAGCTAGCTAGCTAGCTAACTAGCTAGCAGACTAGGTAGCTAGCTAGCTAACTAACTAGCTAGCAGACTAGCTAGCTAGCTAGCTAGCTAGCTAACTAGCTAGCTAGTAGGCGGTGACTGTCAGCAGCAACCCCAACGATCACTGCGGCGGGACTGATGTGCTGCTGTCCTCGATGCATCGGTTGCTGCTGCTGCTGTTGCTGCTGCTGCTGCTGCTGCAGTTGCTGCTGCTGCTGCAGTTGTTGTTGCTGCTGCTGCTGCTGTAGACAGAGGCGTCAGACTAGGGAGTGCAGCACAACACCAGCTATACAAATAGCAGCAGCAACTCCCTTCTGTAGATCAACACACTGAGACTCCTGCAGCAGCAGCAGCAGCAGCAGCAGCAGCAGCAGCAGCAGCAGCAGCAGCAGCAGCAACAGCAGCACAAACAGCAGAGGCAATAAAGATATCTGAATAAGGGCACACAGTAGCTCGCATCGTCAGCAGCAGATGCAGCAGCAGAAACTAACAGCAGCAGCAGCAACAGCAGCAGCAGCAGCAACAGCAGCAGCAGCAGCATACCTGCACACTGCAGAATAGAATATGGCTAAGGACAACAACTGCTGCTGCCTTGCAACCCTTCAGTGCCCCTGACGTAACAGCACCTGCAGCAGCAGCAGCAGCAGCAGCAGCAACAGCAGCAGCAATAGCAGGAGCAGCAGCAGAATGTCTGACTACAGCAACAGCAGCAGCACCAACAGTACCCTCCCCAAGAGAGTAAGCAGCAGCAGTACAAAGAAAGCGAATGCAGCAGCAGCAGCAGCAGCAGCAGCAGCAGCAGTTCAGCAGCACCACACACACAACAGCAGCAGCAACAGCAACAGCAGCAGCAGCAGCAGCAGCAGCAGCAGCAGCAGCAATAGTCTTCCTCTTACCTAATTTAGCAATAATATACCACATAGTAGCGGAGTGTAATGCGCCACACAGCAGCAGCAGCAGCAGCAGCAGCAGCAAAACTTTTATGCTTCCTCCCTCGTTATATACACGATTTAGTACTAATTCATCCAACTATATACACACACACATATATATATACATATATATAGCTAGCTAGCTAGTTAGTTAGTTAGCTAGCTAGCTAGCTAGCTGGCTAGTTAGTTAGTTAGTTAGTTAGCTAGCTAGCTAGCTAGCTAGTTAGTTAGTTAGTTAGTTAGCTAGCTAGCTAGCTAGCTTGGTTATAGCTAGCTATAGCTAGCTATAGCTAGCTAAGGGGGGACTAAGGAAAAATACGACGGGACCATGAGCTATCTATCTAGCTTCCTGTCTATATAGCTAGCTGGCTGTCTGGCTAGCTAGGTAGCTAGGTAGCTAGCTAGCTAGCTAGCTAGCTAGCTAGCTAGCTAGCTAGCTAGAGGAGTTGGCTAGCTGACCTGTGGTAATGTCCATACAAAAGACCAAATAATTAACAACATAGAACTAATACACCTGCATATACACCCCAATATATATATATATATATATATATATA